CAGCGAGAGACTCAGACTCTGGAGTGAAGGGTTCCTTTCTTTTCCTTGTGTTCCTTCATTTTCCCAGGTTTTCTTTCTTGCCTCAGTCAGATGAGGAATGTGGAAAACGTACAGGTTTTGACCTAAGCAGCTGTTTATGGTAGTAGGTAGATTAAATTGGCAGGTGAATAGTATTGTTTACAGGTTATTGAAAAGACAAAGTTGTGCAAAAGCAGATTGGATGACTGCTAATGTTCCTGCCCATTTGTTTCACCTGAACTTGATTCTCAGTGAAAACCTGCTTAAATCAAATTGTAGAATGTATTTGCTCACACTCAGTAGAGAGTATACAGAGAAACTGACTTGAACTCTATGCAAAAATATTAATCCTATAAGGTTAACTAGCTGCTACACAGACTGGGAACTGCCATTTTTAAAATTATAATATTCAAGACTTATGAAATATTTTAACTTCTGGGAGTCAGTTTACTTTTAGTTTTTTGTTTGTCCGTTCCTTGTCTTTTTGCAAGGTGGTGGTGTTGCAGTCGTTCACCTACGGTAGCCTAGTATCATCTCCAAGAGAGTGGACTCTGAAGCCAGAGAGCTTCACCAGTGCCGCACTTCAGTGTTAATAGAAGTCTTGATGTCTGAGTAGGGAAAGTCAGGATACCACTATATTTCCATCCTGGCTTTTTAGCCTATCATGTAAATTTTATAATGGCTTTTATAACTTCCAAGGAGAAGTTAACAAAAGAAAAAAAAAAAAAACCTATAGGAATTTTGATTAGAGTTTTAAATCTGTAGTTTACCGGTGAGACAATTCGTATCTTTACTACTTTTAAGTCTTTCTAGCCATTAGAGTGAGATTTCTCTTTATGTAGATTTCCTTAATGCCCTTTAAAGGAGTTTTAATTTTCTCCATATGTCCTGCATAGATTTATTTCCAGCTACTCTGTTTCTAATATATCAAGATGCACTTGGTAGTTATCTTACACATAGCAATTTTACTATATTCTGTAATTTTTCTTCAAATTCTTTTGTATTTCATTGTTTAGTCATCACCTGCATGTCATGGTTGTTTCTTTTTTCTAAATTTTGCACCCCCCCTTAACACACGCATACACACACACTTACACACTTTAGCCTATCTTCTCTTCAGCTTTCTGCAGGGTTGTAGACCCTCTGCATGTTGTTAGTAGGAGTTACGACAGAAGGCTCTGTATTATGGCCTATGCAGGCCTTCACCATCTGTCTTCCATTACTCTGTGACCTCATGCCCATTGCCTTTCTCTAGCCATGTTGGCTTCCCAAATGCCCCGGGGAACAATAGGCATACTCCAATTTTAGGGTCTCTGTTTGTTACTCATGAACTGGCATGCACTTCCCCTAGAGCCTGCCATGCTCTCTTTTACGTCTTAAGTAAATACCACCTTTTGGACTTCTCTAGCTACCTTGTTTTGTTTTCTGAGCAGTTTTATTGCAGCATAATTTATATACCATAACATTTGTCCATTTCAAGAATACAGTAATTTTGGTAGATCTGCTAAGTTGTAGAACTATCGTCAAGTTCTAGGTTTTCCTCGTCTTAGTATGCCTGTGTTCGCTTACCATTAATCTTCCTTTCTAGTCCCTGCCCCAGGCAGCTACTAATTCATCTATCTCAGAGCTTTGTCTGTTGTGGACTTTTTACGTTAATGAAATCTAAAAATAATATCTCTTTTACAACTTCCTTCTTTTTCAAAGCTTTAGCATGAATCAGTACTTGATATTTATCCTGTGTGGTTGAGTGGCTTTCTGTTGTCATAATATGCTTATTTACCAGTTCATGCATGTTAGGTAGTTTCCAATTTTTGGTTTTTTGAATAATCATAGCCACCCTATTTTAAAAAGGAAGGCTTCCTTACTTTTCCAACAACACACATGTGGTTTTTCTTTCTTACCAATTTCCCGGAGTACTGCATATTTGACTTTTTTTTAATCTCTGTGACTGCTTGGAAACTTTTGTGGTATCTTCTAATGATTATTGATAGTTTTAGTTTTTTTTTATTCTATTAGTATGGTTTTACTCATATGCTTTTATTGTGGTGGGTGATATCATATGTGATGTAAACATGATGACCTTCTCTGGAAAAGGACTGGTCATAAAGCATAGCACCCGCTAGCCTGACCTATGTAAGGTGTTAGTCCCTAAGTAAAACCCACATTTGGGAAACATTTTTCTTGAGTGTATATATCATCCGATACAGGAAGTCTCCCGGTTGAGCCAGTGCTTGAATAAAGTTGACAGGGTTTTTTATTAGCTTAATATTTGTGGTATGTTTGTGTGTGTGTGTGTGTGTGTGTGTGTGTGTGTGTATGCCAGAAGGTGACATTTAGTGTCTTCCTCACTTGCTCCCCACCTTATTTATTTATTATTTATTATTATTTTTTTATTTTTTTTGAGGCAGGGTCTCTCACTGAACCTAAAACTCACCAACTAACTAGACTGGTTGGCCAGTAAGCAATGGGGATCCACTGTCTCTGCCTTCCTAGCATGGGTGCTGAAGTTCCAAACTCAGATCCTCAGTTTTGTACAGCAAGCAAGCACTTCACCAATGAGTTGTGTCCTCAGCCTCTATTAGCCATATTTTTAAAGTTCAGCCAGTTACTCAATTTGTGTCACTGAGTATATCCTAATTTCTGAAAAGTCAGTGAAATTCTAAAACATTTTTAGTCACTAATTTACAAATGAGATAGCATTTAAAATAGGCATTAAGCTCATTGTTTCATTTTAATTTTTCCTTATTCTTTGAAAATTTCGTATATGTATATGGTGTGTTTTGATCACCCACACCTTACTAATCCCTCCAACTACCCCCAGGACTCTTCCCCATCATATCTTCCCAACTTTTTGTTCCTATTTATTTATTTATTTTAACCCAGTGAGTTCAGTTAGTGCTGCTCATACGCACATGGGGTCATCTGCTGGTGCATGGACAACCTTCCTGTGGTTACACTCTTGGAGAAAAGTGACTCTTCTCAGTGGCCATCAATTGCCAGTGGCCTCTAGAGCTCTCCCCCACCACCCCATACTGGAAATTTTATCTGGCTTGTGAGTTCATGTGTACAACAGCCATCTGTGTCTAGAGGACAGCACTCCTCCCTATCCTCTGGCTCTTGCATTCTTTCTGCCCCTTCTTCTGAGTTGTTCTTTGAAATGGCGGGGGGTGGGGGTGGATCTGGGTCCTGCTATAGATGTCCCATCTGTGGTTGGGAGCAGCACAGATCAAACATAAATATTTAAAAGGCAGTTTGACAACATGACCATTTAGAAAAGCCACATCAATAGATTCTTCTCTGAGGCCTATGTTTCCTCTGTCCATGGATTTTAGCCATATTTACAATAATAATCTCACTACTTAAAGCAGTGATTCTGTATAGGACAGGATGGAGGTCTATTTGTCAATGCTTGGAGACATTTGGTTCCCAAAACTGAGGGATGGCGGTGCTAGCTAGCTAGTATCTAGAGGGTTTTAATAGGCATTTAGTTGGGGATGCTGCTAAACATCTTCCAGTACACAGGATAGCTTCACAGTAAATTTATTCACTCCAAAGTCAGGGGTGCCGAGCTGGAGAAATCTAAAAAAAAAAAATCTACACTGCATTCTTTTCGTAATGGAATGCTTAACCGTAGATAGTGGTGTGTGTGTGTGTGTGTATGTGTGTGTGTGTGTGTGTGTGTGTTTGTGTCCATACATATGATGGCTTGTAGAAAATAATAGCTTTTAAAATGCATATGTAGACCTTCCTAGCTCCACACTTTGATGTGTCTTTATGATATATCAGATTTATGTTTTAATCTTATTCTTTCATGAATAAAAAGGTAGAAAATTTGACTTTACCTTCTTATCCTGTAATACATCCTTGGTATATAATTAAGATTACTAACCATTTTTATGTCCTTTTGATTGCTTGTTTTCATTTTATTCATGTTTCACAATATAGTGGCTTAACTAGTTAGTAAATTTCCAGCTGTTGGTTCAAAGTATATTTTCAGTGATCACTTTCCTGGAATAGTTTAGCCCTTGATATTCCTAATTTCCCATTTTAAGTACATTGTCATTGCTCTTTGCCCCGACCCGCAGAGCAACAGCGTGGGGCACCAAGACTGAACCTGGAGGAATGAATAGACAGGGGGCACGAAGAAATGGAGACAAGACAGTATTCTGATCAAGTCTCTTTTATTGAGCAATCACACAGTGTTAATATAGTAAAGCGGAGGGTGGGGGAAGGTAAAGGGTGGAGAGAAGGCAGGGGGAGTGGAAGGCAGCAAGGCCCTGCTGGGGAATTTCTACTACAGTCATGAGCCCTGGTGGTTTCACAAGATAAGGAAGTAAAATGTAGAAAAAAATCAGGGCAAGAAAAACATGTTTTTACAAGGCCACCTGGTTGTTTCAAATTGGGCCAGGGGTACACTTAAGGATTGGCCTCCAACAGCTCTTCTAACTTTGTTTGCTTCTAACTGTAGTTCCTTGTGTCCAGTGTTCCACAGTATATTTATTTTCATATTTAGAATGCTTTTAGTATGTAAAAAAGTGAGTCTCACATGTAGCCTAAAGGTGGCCTCAAACATCATCCAGCATCAGTCTCTCTAGTGCTGGAATTATAAGCACGTGCCACAACTCCAGACCCTTAAAGCTATTATTTCTGTGTGAATCAGCTTTAAGTAGCTCCCTTATTTGATGCTTAATTTCTCTCCATTTAAATTTTGCTTAAATTCTGTGTTTAAATTCTGTTTGTATTGGATTTTCTGTCTTGGCTGACCTAAAACAATTAACCTGAATATAGATTAGAAAATATTTTAAGATACAATGTCATTGGAATTTTTTATTCAGTACTTTAAAATTTTTTTTCAGTGTACCTTGAAATGCAAACAAAAATTTTTAAATAATTTCTGTGATTTTTTTTTCTGAAATATTTTTTGTGATTTATTAAATTGTAGTCTTTTTCTCATTTTTAACTGTCCCTTATTTCCATTGTAGATTAATACTGAGGAGCATGTGGATGCATCTGATAAGGAAGTTATCGTATGGAATCACAAGATTCCTGAGGATATCCTGAAGGAAGTTACTGCTACTAGAGAGGTCCCAGCAGAGAGTGTTACTGTCTGGATTGACCCACTTGATGCTACACAGGAATATACAGGTAAGTTTTAAACTGGTCTCAAACTTTAAGCTGGCATTTTATAGTAGAGAACCTAGAAAGGACAAGTCATGTGTACCTGGTGACAGATAATTTTAAAATCCAAAAACTTTCCTAATTAGTCTTCAAGAAAAGAAAGGTAGGTTAATATACCATTATATGAAACATTTTGACTGAATCAGCAATTCTCATTCTTTTTTCTCTCAAATCCCACATTGTAGCACATTCCTCTAGTAATATCATTTCATTAAGATCAATGGCTCACTTGATTCTTCAGTAAAGGATCAGTTTAACAGTAGCAACAGCATGTCTATTAGACAGCTGTTACTACAGAAGTGGATTTAGCCAGAATATAATACTTTGGAATTCAGGTTTTATTATATACACATCTGACCTTGGAGTTCTAATAATAAATCCTAGGTACTCAGAAGGCAAAAAATAACAAGACAAGATTATTAATCTGCTCCCAACCACACACCTACACATTGCTTTTACCTAGCTCAAGTTTCATTTCTATAGGTCTTTTCTCAGGCTTTTTTCTTAGGCAGAGGTATATAATTCCTGCTTTTTCTTTTCCCTTGGTATCTATGGTAAAGTTGATGAATTTGTACCCCTGTGAGGCAAGCCCACCAGAACATGGGTGCTTCTACTTTCTCACTTGGTATTCTATATACTGTACTTGAGCCATAATATGCACTCAGTGTATTAAAGAACTAAGAGAAGACACAAGTATATATATTTGATCATAGCTAAGTTTATAAAACACACTTGGATGAGTAAATAATAAAAATATAGACTATTGAGCTTGTTTGCAAAAAAGATTTCTAAAATGCATTGACCTGAGCAGGTGATAATATTTAGTAAGCACATCCCTTTGTACAAGGACTACTTTATGCTTCTAACTTGATTTTTTTTATTTGATTCTGAAATTAATGTTATTTGAATTCATACCTAAAGATTGGTAATTGTTTTCTGTGTTATACAGATGGAGGAACTGAGTGTGACTTAAGAAATATAGTTAATAAAGTGATGGACTGGGTGAATAACCCAAGTCATCTCATTTTTCAGAACTCTAGCTGCTCGTTAGCATTCACTCCTCAGCTTTTTTGCTTGAGGAGACTTTTGTCTCTGAAAGGTATTTCATGTATCTCAATTTTAATGAAAAAAAGTATATGTATCCTGAAATTAAGCACAATACTTTAACAATTGCTTGTGTGTGTGTGTTTTTTCTTAGAGGATCTTCGAAAGTATGTTACTACCATGGTGTGTGTAGCTGTAAATGGTAAACCTGTGCTAGGAGTTATTCATAAGCCATTTTCCGAATATACAGGTATGAAGTATATAAGTGTTTTCAAGAGTAAATGTTATTGAACTGTTTGTAGTTCTTAACCATTATTCTAAAATTTTAATAATCGAAGTCTGTCCTCTCCCTTTGCTCACTGCTTCACTGATTATAGTGAGGATTTTATGGTTTGTATTGCTAATATATGAGAAAATGTGGCTTCTTAAACAGTCCTTAGGGGATGGGCACTATTAGACAGAACAGAGGTATTCTTAGTGAGGCCTAGGATTCTTCCACTGGATTCTGAGATAAATCTTGTACAGTTGTTCTAGTATCTGTTTCATATGTAGATCTTAATGTTGTGGTAGAGGACAGTGACACTTGCACATCCAAAATGGGAGAGCAGTTATTACTTTGAATGTCTCAGTGGGATATAGGCTAATCTTTAGATAGAGCACGACTTACCTTTTAGAACTCTGCAAGACCCTTGCTTTTCCACTTTCTTGATGCAGATATGTTTGTAGGGAAGATCAATGATGGCTGTGTTGAGGTGAGAAGGCATGGATGACCACGCCTAGGAACTTGGTATTTATCTGGGGTAGGACCTTGCTTGTGGCAGTGGATGGATGCAGGGATATTTTGATAGAACTGCAGATAATGCATTGGAGTTAGCCATAGGGGCTACCTGTGGTCTTCCAGGTAGCAGTGATGATATGGGCAGAGGTCACATGTTCACCATAACAGCACAAGTTATCTTTGTGTTGGAGAGCGTAGTTAATATGAGTATTACTGCTGACTACCTGAAAAGGATTGTCATATTTTTAATTGGTTAATTCCAACCAACACACAAGGCAAAGATTATGATCCCTCTAAGATGATAGGGTTCTTAATGGTGACAATACCCACATTACCAGTATTGGAAACAGCCCTTATGAGCATGTATATATATACTATATGGCATCGAATATATCTTCAAATTCATGATCACTCTGTATTAGTTTTCTAGGGCTGCTGTAATTAAGAAATAATCATTGTATATATGTATGAAATTCTCAAAGAATTAATTAAAATACATATTTTTTCAAAGTTGAAGTTTATCCTCAGCTACCTATGGCCTTAAAGAACAGCCTGGGCTACAGGAAACCCTGCCTCAAACAAACTTAACAAAAAGAAAATAGTCTGGATGGTGATTCCTAGGAGGGAGGAGGGAGGAGTGAGAAGGACATGAGTAAAGAGTTCTCACTCTTCAGTTGGGTGGTCCCTTCTACACTGTTAGTTGTTTTACTTTATTTAAAAATATTTAAAATACTGTGGCTGGAGAGATGGCTCAGTGGTTAAGAGCACTGATGGCTCTTGCAGAGGACCTGGGTTCGATTCCTAGCACCCACATGGCAGCTAACAACTGTAACATAAAACTTAACTGGTTATGTTTACACTGACTCCAAGGATCCAACACATTCTGACCTCCATTGGCATTGCACGACACAGGTGCACTTACACACAGGCAGGCAGTGCACTCATGCACACAGGATAAAATAATAAAATTAAATTAAATATTTAAAATACTACTTTTTTTAATTTAAAAGGTTAAACAGAAACTGAACTTTGTCTTAAACAAGAGTAATGTAGTAGTTCCTCCTTGTCTGTAACTAGAAGGCCAGCCAGCGTCAAGGTGTTGGCACAGACATGCTGTCTCTGAGATTAAAGGGACTACCCTTCTGTGGTTTCCTTTGTTTCTGGCAGTTTTCCAAGCAGTCCACAGAGTTTCTTGACTTGATTACCATCACTCCAGTTCATCTTTCTCATCATTTGGCCTCCCTGTGTGCCTGTGTCTCTTTTTCTTCAAAGGACACTGGTCATACTGAATGAAAGGCCTACTATATACCTGTGTGACTGCTGCTTAAGTGGTTATGTTTGTGCTGATCCTGTTTCCAAGGAATTCCACGTTCTGAAGTGCTGGGGATTAGACCTTCCTTGTGTTTTGTGTGTGCCTGTGTGTGCGTGTGTCTGTGTGTCTGTGTGTCTGTGTGTATCTGAGAGCTGTTCTGTTTATTCTCTTATACAATACTGACCCCTAGAGACACAGTATTGTAAGTTCACTTCTTAATAATTAATTTGAAAAAGAATTTGGAGAATTGGGATTTTCATCTCCTCATTTTTAAAAAACTTTTAAAAACTTTCATGGTAAATAATTAAAAACACAAAATAAGACACATATTCATATACTTTTCCCCCAGTATATTTTAAAGTAACAAATATCATAAAATTTTGCCTATATACACTTAATTGTGCATCTGTAGAAACTAAAAGCATTTTTCCACAGAAGAACAGTATTATTTGGGCATGTTGGCCCACACCTTTAATCATAGCACTTGAGAGTTAGAGGCAGGCAGATCACTGTGAGTTAGAGGACAGCCCAGGCTGTATAATAAGACCCTGTCTCCAAAACAAATGAAAGAACAATACTATTAAATATCACAAAAATTAACTGTATTTCCTAATAGTGTTCAGTATTTGCATTTCCCCAGTTGTTCCTGAAGTGGGTTTCATACTCATTACTCGAAACCAAGATCCAGTTAAGTGCCACCAGGATCTCTTTGGGCCATTAGGTTGTTATGTTCCATTCTGTGAATGAAGAACAGTCCTTTAACTCCCATGACCTTTACTTGCTGGGGAGACCAGTTAATTTGTCTGCTAGAACATCTTGTCCTTGGGATTTGTTTCATTGTTTCCTAAGGGTGCCCTGTAATTTACTCTTGTTAAAAAATATTTATTTTTATTTTATGTGTATGAGTGTATTGCCTGCATGTCTGTAAGTGCACCCGTGTCGCGCAATACCCAGGGAGGTCAGAAGAAGGCGTCAAATTCCCCTGGAACTGGAGTTATAGATGGTTCTTAGCCACAATGTGGATACTGGGAATCAAACCCAGGTCCTCTATAAGAGCAGTCAGTGCTCTTAACCGCTGAGCTATCTCTCCAGTCCCCTTTAACTTCTAGCCTCTTATTCTTATAAAGTACATTAAAACATTAGATTTGAAGCCTTGATTGGATTGAAGGTTTTACATTTTTATCAAGGAAGTTTTTACTTTTATTTTGGAAGTTGCTGTTGTTTTTGGTGTGTATGTGTATGTGTACATAGAGGGTCTTGCACTGGAACCCTGGCTAGCCTGGTACTCCTTATGTACCCCAGGGTGGCCAGGAGCTCAGGGTAATCCTCCTGCGTCAGCCTCCTAAGTGCTGGTGTTCTTCATCTGCTTCATGTTGCATCATGTAGCATGGAATGGTGTCTCTTTGTCTTACTGTAATGATGGTTAAAGTACTGACGACCAGAGCTCTTAGTTCTAAATTATTTTGACTTTCTTGATACCAGCAGGGTGATCTATAGAACCATTTGGCTTCTCTTAAGATAATCTCTTCACATTGCAAATGATATTTCCTAATTCTGAGTTTTCTACATCTGTCATTAAGAACTTTCTCATCTGAAGTTGTTTATCATGAAATGTATTTTCTGCTAGAAGGCAAGGTAAATAACTGTTTGATTTCTTTCCTTTTCCAATTTCAGAACACGTAATTAGAGTACAGCAGGGAAAAGAACACTTTAGTAGAATAGCAGGTTTGCACTATTTAAAAATACGTGGTGATGCACACCTTTAATCCCAGCACTCGAGAGGCAGAGGCAGGTGGATCTCTGTGAGTTCAAGGCCAGCCTGGTCTACATAGTGAGTTCCAGGACAGCTGGGACTACAGGGAGACCCTTTCTCAAAAAAGGCGAAAAAAAAAAAAAAAAAGATGATTTTATATATTCAGAGAGGTTTAGATAGCTACAGTTATTTTAATTATCTGTCTTGTCTACCATCCTCTTTTGGTCCATTATATCTTTTTTTATGTTTACTTGTAAACTCCACTGTTGAATTTATTATATTTACATGGTACCTTGTGGACTCTTAACGTTCATTTTGGATCTCATGTGCATGCTTCTCTGTCTTAGGTGTCCTCTCAGATCCACAGCTGGACTTCCTCAGTGCCAGTCAGCACTGCTTTTGCTGTGGGTCTGTCAGTTTAAATAAAATTTCTATTCTAATAAAGTACTTAAGAATTGGCTGATGGGTATAATATTAATTGCCCAATAGATGATTAAAAATATTTTTCAATAGTCTTGATAATTTGGTTTGCTATTTATTAGTGTCTTAGAGCTTCCACAACAAATTATCACAAACCAGGTGACTTGCAACAATAGAAACTCTATTGGACTTGGTGAGACCAGAAGTCCTCTATCAGGGAAACAGCAGGACCATGTGCTCTTTGCAAACGAAGGGGAAGAATCCTTTTTCTTCCTTTGTAGCTTCTGGTGATTCTGGTCCTTCCTGTCATTCCTTCATTTATAGACACATCTTCAATAGGCATCTCTTCTCTGTCTCCTCCCTTATAAGAATATCAGTCATTGGACTTACGGTTCTACCTTTATCTACTATGACCTTACCTAACAGCATCTACAAATATCCTATTTCCTAACAGGTCAGCTTCTGAAATTGCAGGTAGAATGAATTTTGGTAGGACATCTTTCATTATACTATATACCTTTTTTCTTGATAAACTTGCAGCCACTGTTGAACTGGGTATGACTGTGCATGTGTGTGTTGACTCTTGTTGGCAAAAGGGCCCATAGAAACCTAATTTAGTTTCCTATGTAATCGACTTAATATTTTTGCCTAGAGTAAAAAGAACTTTATCTTTAAATCTAAACCTCCTAAAACAGCTCCACTTACTGGGGTCAAAAGTGTTCAAATACTTGGAGCCTATGGGGGACATTTCTTATTTCTCTCCTTGGCCCCATAGGCCATATAATGCAAAATGCATTTAGTTCAACTTTAATAGTTCCCATAGTCTTTAAGGTCTCAACAGTATTCAAAAATCCAGTCTCTTCTGAGACTCAAGACACTCTTAATTATAACCCCCTGCAAAATAAAAAAGACAGATTACTGCTTCTGACATAAACATGGCACAGAATACATATTTCCATTCCAAAAGGGAGGAATTGAGGCATAGTGAAATACTGGACCAAAACAAGACCAAAACCCATCAGGGTGAACACCAAATAGTGTAGCTTCATATCCATGTAGCTTCATGTCTGGGACTTTGATTCCATAGGGCTCCACCCCTCCAGCTTTGCTGCCTGCAACATCTATTTCTCAGACTGGTTCTACTACCTTTATACATCTCTCCTGGCAGCTCTCTCACAGCCAGCTCTGACATCTTCAACATCTTGTCTCCACTGCAAACCAGGCTTGACCTTCACAACTTCACACAGCTTCTCAGGGCCTCTTGGCCAACAAGGGCCTTCTCTCAGGCACTCCGTTATCATACACTTTGACCTCAGCAGCTCTCTAAACCACAGAGGAAGAATAAATGATATGCTCACTGTGGTATCTTTCATGCATCTGAAGCCAGTACCACATAGATAACACTGGCAAGTTAGGCTGCCAGCTTGGGATGGACATTGGACCCCTTCATCCCTATTGACAAAAGCTTGTGTATGTTGAGGTTTTCTGGGACCTTTCTTAGATCTTTTCCTTTCACTAGTTGGAAGCTTAGCTGGGTGCAGCCCTGTGCTGAGTGCACTCTCCCCATTGTTCAGCAGAGCAGAAGGCCTCTCCTTAATTGTGCTAATCTTCTCGAAGAGAGCTTCTCTTCCAGGACATACCTTGGCTACAACATTAAGCTTCCTAGTGTTCTCTTTCTCTCCAAACTGTACATTTTGTATTTCTTTCTGCCCCAGTTGCTCTTTTTCATTATAGATCTGCAAGTTAACATAACCAGTGCACAGTTTCAACATTACACTTCAGAATTTCTTCCACCAAAGAAATGAGTCCATTGTGTTTTACTTTAGCCTGGGACAAGTTCTTAGGCTGTGGGCAGAAAGCAGCCAGATTCTTTGCCAAAATATCCCAGTCTTTGTTTCCATCTCTCTCTGGAACATCTTGAGTGGACCTTTACTAGAACGGCCCATTAGACTGCTTACAGCATTCAACCACTTTTCATATCCACACTTTCACATTCCTCCAAAAACAACATGGTTGGGTTCTTTGACAGCAGCACCTCACTCTTTGGTACCAACTTCTGCAAAACAGATGCTTACTGAGAACTTCACTGAGATTAGATTTTTTTTTTTAAGGGAAGAAGAAGTGGAGTAAGTGCAACAAGTAATTGAGTTGTAGGGCAGTCCCTGCGGGGGCTTAGCTGGTACCACAGGGGAACTTTGATGGAGCATCAGAGTTCTTATGCCAGATATTTGATAGCTATTCTTTCCAACAGTAAAGAGTACAAGGGCCCTTAGAAGCTGTTTTTTTATTTTATTTTATTTTATTTCATTTTATTTTATTTTGTTGCAAAATATTAATAAAGTTAGTTTTGTACTTATAAAAATTAAAACATTCTTTTTGGAAGAAGTTCAAACAATTCTGAAGATGTTCAGTCAATTGTTACTTTGAGTTCTGCAGAATGTAACTGGAGTACCATGGATTAGGGTTCAAGCTGCAGTGCTATTAATGGGTGTTGTATTTACTTTTCAGCTTGGGCCATGGTAGATGGTGGTTCGAATGTGAAAGCCCGTTCTTCCTACAATGAGAAGACCCCAAGGATCATTGTGTCACGTTCACATTCGGGGATGGTCAAGCAAGTTGCTCTTCAGACATTTGGAAACCAGTCTACAATTATCCCGGCTGGTGGTGCTGGTATGTTCGTCCTGCTGCTTCTTTTCCTCTTGGGGTTCCACAGTGCTCCCAGTATGAGCAAGGCTTTCTCAGGAGACCAAACTGTTTGTCCCATGCTTGGGTAAAAATAACGAGCAGTGTCCTATAAAACTCCTCTTTGGTCATTTTAGGATAGGACTCTATTACCATTACACTCATTAATGATATCTCTTCCTGGAGTACTACAAAAACATATTCCTATCAGTGTTATCCCAGCAGTTTTTTATATAACCTGGCTTCAAAATAATTGTCTTATGAGCTTAATTACTAGTGGAGCTGTCAGAGGAAGAAAGATGGAACACTTAAGATGCTTTACATGGCAGAAAGGTAGCATACCCCCTAGGTATTCTTAAAATGGCTGTTCCCTGGGTCACTGAACTTTTCAGTTTACACACCTAGGATGTTCAAGAGAGTCACATAGTCAGCCAGTTTACCGTATATTCCATGATGTTACAGTTCTTGACCATAAATCGGAGCCCACTGTTCTGAAAAGGTCCAGTAGTATTTAGACTTTGTGAGCCACATGTAAGTTCTGGCATATTATTATTTGCTTAAATCACCTTTAAAAATTTAATTTACTTGAGATGTGTACAACAAGATTGTAATCTGGATTTGGCTTGAGGTGCTGTTTGATTACTCCTGTTCATGAGTGTTTAACTTGACAGAAATGTTTTAAATCAGGTAAGTATCAAATTAATCAGAAAACATTTACATTGAAATAACTTCTCAATGTAGTCATTAAGGGAGAAGCGACCCTT